TCTGAGCAGGAACACAGATCTTTGGCCTGAGAAAGAGAAGCGTTACCTGAGTAGAGATTGGGTGAAGTCGAGCTGCCCACAAACACTTCCCTGTTAGTTTTATGGTAGGGTCAGTTACTGGGCAAACACATTCCAGTGCAGGGTGGGTCTCTCTCTCTCATCGGCTCTCTCTCTCTCTCTATCTATCTATCTATCTATCTATCTATCTTAATTCTTCAACTCACTCACTTTCACTGACTTGCTTTATCTCTCTTTCTGTCTCTCCCCCGTCCCTCTCTCTCTCTTACCCACATACTCTTGCTCTTTCTTTCTTTTTTTCTTTCTTTCTTTCCTGTTCTCTATCTTGTTCACCTCTGTTCACCGCAGGTCTTGTCTTGACTTTGATTATCATCATTGTGTAGACATGTGACATTTCCTGTTGACTGGTTTGCCAATGTAGAAATCATCAATTTAAAAAAAATAATAATAATTTTTTACAGTAATTGCTCTTTATGCATTTAGATGTAATTTAGATAACTTTTTATCTTTGCATCATAAAATGTTGTAATTTTTATATTAAGCAGTAATCATTTTGTAAATGTGATAAGGCACCCATGGCCATGCTGTATTGTGATGTCATGGCTAAAGGGCATTATTTGGTATGCCGCATGTAAATATTATTTTAAAAGGTATTCTAAAAGGTTTATATGTAGTGAGTTGTGCAACGTTGCAGTCTGGTGAGTAGTTTGTACACTACCGTTCAAAACTTTGTTTTTTTGTTTTTTTAAGTCCCTCTTGCATTTATTTTTACGAAATCTTACGAAATTATCTTACGAAATAGGATTATTACACTATAAAAAGTTTAAAGTTTACTATAAAGTTTTCAATTTGAATATATTTTAAAATGTCATTTATTCCTGTGTTGGCAAAGCTGAATTTTCAGCAGTTATTACTCCAGTCTTCAATGTCACATGATACTTTAGAAATATGTTTGTGGAAATAGTGATACATCTTTTTCAGGTTTGATTAGTAGAAAAGGCATTTATTTGAAATGGAACTCTTTTTGTAAAATTATAAGTGCATTTGCTGTCATTTTGATCAATTTAATGCATTCTTATTAAATAAAACCATTTCTTTCTTTCAAAAAATAAATTAAAAAATCTTACTGACCCCAAACATTTGAATGGTAGTCTATCGTAATACCTTTCTCAAGACATGCTATGTCAGATGTTTTTTTGTTTTGTGTGTGTGTGTGTGTGTGTGTTTTGTGGGCTTGTTGATGACTTGCATTGATGTGTTCAGAGGAAGTTTCAAGATTTTTGCTTGCAGTGATTTCTTAAGAGGAACTAGAGTATTGAGTAAACTCTCTGACACACCCTGACGCTCACAGACCTCACAAACCTACATATTCCTCTTTCTCTCTGTTTTCATACATTATTGCTGTGTGGAGACTGGCCACTTGCCCATTTTCTGACCCGTTTTCCCCGAGCCCATCATCCACCTGCTCTGAGCATCATCACACACACACAACCCCAATACAACCACCAATCTCACAAGCACACCTCACATTCGTGGCTTTTCTCATTAATGAAACCAGATGTGGCATCTGCAGGCTCACCCAGAGTGTGAAGTCGATGCCGGAGCTTCTCACCACCAGCTAAAATGGCTTTCTCGCACTCTACTCATAAACGTTAAGCGCTGGCCTTAGGCACTGTTAGCTAACTTTCCATCTCAAACATTAAAACAAAACATCAGCGCTCTTTTGAACACTGCACTGAGTGGCAGCATTTTAGTCAAATAAAAGCCCTCGGAACAAATGCAAGTAACCCAGTACACGTGGGATCAGGCCTGTGTTTCTCTTCATGTTTGTGTAGTATGTGTGTCAGGGTCATTCATTTGGCAATGCCGCCCAAGATAGGTGTAAATCCATCTAGCTGTGTCCTGAATCCTGATCTAAATAATGTTCAGTTGTCCTGGTGACTCGGAATAAATCTCTCTTCTTTTTTTTTTGTAATTTCTCAGTGACTTATGCTGTGATTCATAAATGTTATTGGATGCTTAATTCTCTACAAGCCCCGCCCCTAAGATGAGATCATAATTATGCTCATGTGTTTAGCCAGTCTCCGTTGTCCTGTCTCTGATGCTTCTTGTCTATGTTCATGAGCGAAGTGTGTCGTCCTTTCGCCTGATGAAGTGAGGACCTCCTTTTTTTAGAATGCAGGCCGGACGACAAGAGACCGTTTGCTCACTTTGAGGTCGATCCCATTTCAGTACAGCCAGTTCAGGGGATGATTTCAACACTGGCATGAATATAAAATGTTAAATTTAAGGAATACATTTATTTCTCTGTTTGCATTCTATGTGTCCTGGCCAATTTTAGCTTGTGACCAGCAAAGCAACAATCACTAGAGATCTGATGAACTTTAGAGATACTTTGGTTAAAACCATATGACTTTATTTCTGTGAAGCACAAAAAGGGGCTGAGTTTGCCCTTGTTTTGAGGGCTACAAGATCGGTCTCTCAACCAAGAGGCCGGGATCCACTAGGGGACCTTAGCACACTTCCAAGTGGGCTGTAAGATGGCTTCTGTTTCTTCTGTCCATAAACCTGGACACACTGGATATACTGTATAATATATGGGAATTTTAAAAGTGTCATTTGTAGACCTGGAAAAGGCATGGAAATTAATAAAAGCCTTCAAATATTGTCTTTGACAATGGAGGGCCTTGGATGCAAAAAAGGTTGAGAACCACTGTACAAGATAAATAAACACTTAAAATTTCAGTCTGTTTCTCTTACAAAGCTAGTGTATAACATCAAAAGAC